TGCACAGTAATGGAGACAATGCCTCCAAACTCTGAATCTGTAAGAGACCCACACACCTCTGAGTGGACAGGGCACACAACCACTGAGAATGTACTTCATTGTTACCGTTCCTGTTTGACATGCAAGTTTACAAAGCTACTTCCATGCTTAGGGAAGTATGAGAGCAAACAAAAAGGTACCACCACAGGAGAAAACTGCTGGGAAATACCAGTGCTGTCAGCATACAGCTTCTTGCCTGTTTATGATAAGAATAATTCACAGGGAACAAAATTAGTATGACCAAAAAAACCCCCACAAAAACTTGGAGCAGCTTAAGTGAGAGGTGACAAAGAGAAAGCTCTTAAAGATAACTATCTGTTCACAGCTGAAAAAATTAGAAACAGCTAAAATGTAGCAAGTGGAGAAGAAACTGCAGAATGTGAGGTCAAGTGGAATCATTAATTTGATGGAACAGGGTGGTGCAGATTCTTAGGATCAAGCAACCGGAGGCTGGAGAGGCTCAGGCATGAAGCAAGTGGCCTTGTGCCAGCAGAGCAGCACCAACACTCAGAACTCACCCATCACAGTCTGGGGCCAAGGCAACAAAGGTAAGAAAACCTCCCAGAAAAACAGGTGGCAATCCCCTGCAGGCCCCCTTCCACAGTAACACAGGTATCTGCAAAGGCCCTTATTACAGCCTGACCCTGTCTTCTTCAGAAACCAAGCAGGAGTTCAGGTGAGCCCAATGCAAACCACAACAAGCAAAGGTGTTCCTGCCCTGGAGGTATCCTGCCCACATGGGCTAAACCATACTGGCTAGTGCTTTGTTTTCCAGTCAGCTGTCATCACAGCTAACTTCCCACATCTGTGTAACATGGGTTTCTACTTTCACACATTCAGACAGAGGTAGGGCCAGATCCTGAGCTCCCTCTGACATAGGAATAAAGAGAGCAGCAAGATCTAGGTCAGAACATTTTCGAAAAAATCTCTTTTTCATCAGAGCTGCCTGTTCTAACCCAGTTGAAGCAACTCTAGAGAAACCCTGCTTTCAATGTAGCCTCCATTCTTTCTGTGCAAAAACTAAGAGGAAAAAGACAGTAAGACAAAGAACGTTTTCCTAAGGAGTTAAAATCCTCCACTTTAACTCACCTACTCTACTAGTTGCATAAATGGGGAAAACCCAGTAATTTGAGACAGAAAATGTAATGAAACTATCCCAGATGCCCTAACAACATACATCAATTTACTCTCTGAAAGCAAAGCATTGTTTTACAGCTGTTTTCATTAGATCAGTCTGAACTGGTTTCTTTCCCCCGTTACAATAGCAAAAGTGAAACACAGCAGACAAGCAGATTGCAGCCCAAAACCCCCAGAAACCACTACTGTCACCTGAAGAGAGTCATGTTGGCATAGAAAGGGTAAGGAAAAGGGTTTTCTTTCCCATCTCCCTCGTCGGAGCTACTCAAGAAAGCAAAAACTTTTCAAATGTTCTGCTTCAGCCAGTTTTGCATGTTTCATACCCCTTCTCTAAGAGAGTGCTGCAGGGTGAGGAGGGAGGGACGACACCTAATGAATGTCTGGAGATTAAAGCTACAGTGGTTTGATAAAATCTTTTCATACAAAATATTCTCTGACGTACCTAAGGCAGGTACTGGTTATTGTCTCCAGAGTAGGATTTATTTAGGGATAACTAATTTAAAGGTATATTTAACCATTACACACAGCCAGCCCAGGAAACGTGATTCAGACTAAACGACCTAGGAACACTATTTATTGGTATTTCCCCTACTAAGGAAAAAAGCACAGCAAGAAGGAACATTTAGTTATCAAAGCACATTCCCTTTCAGATGCATTACAGATGCCAGCACACTGTAAGAAGCTAAGTCTGGCATCTGCTTGCTAAAATTTAGGTTGCAAACACAAAACACAAATTAGTGTTAGGCACCTGGAGGTTTGGTGCAACACTAACATGACTGGAAGAGATAAGGGTCTGAAGCTCCCATTGCTCTCTGATATTTTCATATCCTCTGTGCTTACAAGTGTAACAAGCTTTTGGATACAGGTCAGCCCTGGCTCTGCTCACAGTGATTTATTTTCTTGTCTCTGGCGATATGAAAATGACAACACATATAGCTGTAGGAGATGTTTTTGTCAGGAAGATTAATACCAAGCCCAGCTTTGTTTGAGGTTTTCAGAAATAGGGCAGTAGTAGATACCACCATTATGTAATTCAGTGGGTTTTGTGCTCACATGTGACAGAGCTTGGTGCTGGTGACACCACACCTTCCTCTTCTTCTCCTGCTGGATTATATTCTCCAGCAACAGTGGGCTCCAGTATCAGTGGGCTGATACTGGTAAGACCTGATATGACTGAGTCACAGTGCTGGTCACAGCACTGGATATGTCTGCTGTGGGCCAGACTAGACACAGCCATGGAATGACCACCGTGCTACATGAGAACCGGTGGGAGTCACAGAAGAGCAGCAAAAAGCTCTGTACTTGAATATATACAGAATATAAGAAAAACCTCAACAATTTACTGTAAGTCCTTTAAGTGAATGACAGAAGAGGGTGGGGTGGAAGGCAGCGCCCTTACTGAGCCATAGGGTGCAGCCCTGGCATGCTCCTTTCCCCCACAAACTGTTGCTACCCCCACCAACAGGGAGAGCTTTCAGTGGAGGGGCTGCTGCAGGGCTCTGACTGAAACTGATACTTCTTCATGAGGGATTCCCCTCATCCCCAGACCTATCAAGTCAGGCTTTCCCAGCTCCTTCTCCTCCCAGATGCTCCCGAAAGCTGCCTGACCCCCAAAGGCACTCAGCTCTGTCTGGTCTGCAAGATCCTGCACCTCCAGCTCCTGGCTGCCTGGAGGGGAGAGGTGCAGATTTCCACTCCTTCTGCTGCCTTAAGAGCTGGAGATACCTGCTCATGCTCAGAGACAGACAGATCAGCCCAAGTTTCTAGCTGGTTTGTGCTCAGAAGTACCTTGTAATCATGAGACATTTAGCCAGAATATAAATTTTCCATAAAAATAGAAAATTCTCAGGTCCCTTCATTTGGCAGGGTATTTCTTGCTCCAAATAAGCAAAACCGGATGTTTGTTTATTAAATCAAACAACACCTCAGTAATTTGGGGCTGCATAAACTGTTCTGCTTCAGCCAGTTTTGCATGTTTCATACCCCTTCTCTAAGAGAGTGCTGCAGGGTGAGGAGGGAGGGACGACACCTAATGAATGTCTGGAGATTAAAGCTACAGTGGTTTGATAAAATCTTTTCATACAAAATATTCTCTGACGTACCTAAGGCAGGTACTGGTTATTGTCTCCAGAGTAGGATTTATTTAGGGATAACTAATTTAAAGGTATATTTAACCATTACACACAGCCAGCCCAGGAAACGTGATTCAGACTAAACGACCTAGGAACACTATTTATTGGTATTTCCCCTACTAAGGAAAAAAGCACAGCAAGAAGGAACATTTAGTTATCAAAGCACATTCCCTTTCAGATGCATTACAGATGCCAGCACACTGTAAGAAGCTAAGTCTGGCATCTGCTTGCTAAAATTTAGGTTGCAAACACAAAACACAAATTAGTGTTAGGCACCTGGAGGTTTGGTGCAACACTAACATGACTGGAAGAGATAAGGGTCTGAAGCTCCCATTGCTCTCTGATATTTTCATATCCTCTGTGCTTACAAGTGTAACAAGCTTTTGGATACAGGTCAGCCCTGGCTCTGCTCACAGTGATTTATTTTCTTGTCTCTGGCGATATGAAAATGACAACACATATAGCTGTAGGAGATGTTTTTGTCAGGAAGATTAATACCAAGCCCAGCTTTGTTTGAGGTTTTCAGAAATAGGGCAGTAGTAGATACCACCATTATGTAATTCAGTGGGTTTTGTGCTCACATGTGACAGAGCTTGGTGCTGGTGACACCACACCTTCCTCTTCTTCTCCTGCTGGATTATATTCTCCAGCAACAGTGGGCTCCAGTATCAGTGGGCTGATACTGGTAAGACCTGATATGACTGAGTCACAGTGCTGGTCACAGCACTGGATATGTCTGCTGTGGGCCAGACTAGACACAGCCATGGAATGACCACCGTGCTACATGAGAACCGGTGGGAGTCACAGAAGAGCAGCAAAAAGCTCTGTACTTGAATATATACAGAATATAAGAAAAACCTCAACAATTTACTGTAAGTCCTTTAAGTGAATGACAGAAGAGGGTGGGGTGGAAGGCAGCGCCCTTACTGAGCCATAGGGTGCAGCCCTGGCATGCTCCTTTCCCCCACAAACTGTTGCTACCCCCACCAACAGGGAGAGCTTTCAGTGGAGGGGCTGCTGCAGGGCTCTGACTGAAACTGATACTTCTTCATGAGGGATTCCCCTCATCCCCAGACCTATCAAGTCAGGCTTTCCCAGCTTCTTCTCCTCCCAGATGCTCCCGAAAGCTGCCTGACCCCCAAAGGCACTCAGCTCTGTCTGGTCTGCAAGATCCTGCACCTCCAGCTCCTGGCTGCCCGGTGCAGATTTCCACTCCTTCTGCTGCCTTAAGAGCTGGAGATACCTGCTCATGCTCAGAGACAGACAGATCAGCCCAAGTTTCTAGCTGGTTTGTGCTCAGAAGTACCTTGTAATCATGAGACATTTAGCCAGAATATAAATTTTCCATAAAAATAGAAAATTCTCAGGTCCCTTCATTTGAGGTGCAGATTTCCACTCCTTCTGCTGCCTTAAGAGCTGGAGATACCTGCTCATGCTCAGAGACAGACAGATCAGCCCAAGTTTCTAGCTGGTTTGTGCTCAGAAGTACCTTGTAATCATGAGACATTTAGCCAGAATATAAATTTTCCATAAAAATAGAAAATTCTCAGGTCCCTTCATTTGGCAGGGTATTTCTTGCTCCAAATAAGCAAAACCGGATGTTTGTTTATTAAATCAAACAACACCTCAGTATTTTGGGGCTGCATAAACAGGAGAGCAGAAGAATAGGAGAGCTGAACATCTGGAGGTAGTGGCGTTCCCCAGGTTAGCTTTGCCTCAAAGCAGAGTCAAGTTCTTTGCATCTAATCAGCAGGGAAGTATTTATCAATTATGTGGTGTTGAAAGAACATT